CATGCTCTTATGGTTATAGCTCGAAGTAGAATTAAACCTGAAAATTTCTCTATGAAGCTGAACTGTCTGTTTAGTGTCCAGTTTAGTTTAAAGGTTTCTAAGTGTTCAGTTCAGACAGTTTTCTCTGTCTCTGCAACTACCGGTATGTACTAATAGTATACAGGTGTGTAGTATATTGCTTCAGCTGAAGAGCAGATTTACTGATGTAATACAAATGTGAGTAATTCTCTAGCCAGCTGACACATGTACTCTAAATACTAGTAGTTATGTGACACCTGGTAGAATATACTATAATCCAAATATTATGATACTGTTCATTGATCCATACAACCTAAAAGTACAGGCATAACATGACATTTATTAAGATAAAATCTGATCTTTTACTAACAAGAACCTTGCTTCTTAAATGTTAATTAATTTCAGAAATTACACATCACTATTCTATTCTATTCTATTCTATTCTATTCTATTCTATTCTATTCTATTCTATTCTATTCTATTCTATTCTATTCTATTCTATATTCTATTCTATATTCTATTCTATTCTATTCTATTCTATTCTATTCTATTCTATTCTATATTCTATTCTATATTCTATATTCTATTCTATTCTATTCTATTCTATTCTATTCTATTCTATTCTATTCTATTCTAGTATGCTTCATCACATAAATACAGGCTGTGTGATATATTTGTCTCTTATGTCTATCTTGATTGCCTCATATCCATAATACATCAATGTAATGACATTTGACTGCAAAAAAGCATCAGTTTTCTGTCTTTATCTCGTTAATGAGTTGCCATTTCACAAAACGCATTTATAGTGGCTTTTATCAAAGTGTTATGTGTTTTGAAAGATGGTCTGAACGTCAGTGGGTTAAATTTATTTCTAAATTACCTTTTCACTTCAGCAGTGAGGCTTGTGGAACTAACAAGTCATTCGTGAAATCTAGAATTGAGGTTATTTGTGGGAAACCTTTGTGGAAATTAAAATTATTAGAATACTGGTACTTAAGTTTGATGTAGCAAAAATACTTATTTTTATTACCGCATTGAAGAAAAAGTTTTTCAGAGGCAAAAAAAATCCTGTCTTTGTTGTCCCCGGGGAAAATGTTTTTTTGTAATTATTTTTGTAAACATGTTTATATTTTTTAAAGATAAGCCACTGATGGCATGTGAATCAACTGGGTTCAATATAATGTACAACAACAACAAAGTTTTTGGATGTCTTTTCAATTAATTAATTCAAAATTTGTTTTCTTCTGATTCTTGATCTAGCAAGTTAGTTACCACCAGTAGTTAGTTTTCTCAATAAGAAGCACACATAAGAGAAAAAAACATTTCTTGTATGCTGTATCATTAAAATATTATTTTTGTTATTTACATGTAAAAATACTTCTATAATTTCTGTAAATATGTGTGCTGCTAGTAGAGAAAATTATGGATAGGGGCCCAATTCCCGAAGCCAACTGTTTACTCTATAGTATACATCAAGTATAAAGGCCTTAATTATTTCCTTTTGAAACATGTATCATAATAGGTTTGGAAGACTGCGTGGTTCACACATGTACTTACAATTAGCAAGAAAAATCATGAAAGACAGCAGTGACTTTAATGTCACTTGGCACAAAACAACAAATTAGAACATTACTACTGAAATTTGATGAGTGTATTCCTATGAGTACATGTGTTAATTACTACATTACTTGAGTTACATGATATCCAAGATATCTACCGTATTTATACCTTCAGGGTACTGCATTTGTATAGTTAATTTATATATAACAATTTTCCTCCTGTTATTACAGACTATAATATTGTGAATCAATTTCATTTCCATGATGAGTTCTTCTTTGGAAAATCTGATTAAAATCTGATCTGATCCAATTTTTTTTTTTTTTCCATATTTCATTTAATAGACAGTGTTATTTTGTTTGTTCATGACTTTTTTTTTTATTGAATATCTTAAAGGTGATCAAGACACAATATAAATAATACTTAAAAAGAATGACAAGTAAAAAAAATAGTTATAAATAAAAAAAAACAGTAAATAACAATTAGAATCTATATTTACATAAGATTAGGATATCTAAGATTAGGAAGTCTAATTTTCAAGCCTTTAAAATATTTTTTAATTCTGTGCATAATTATTATCATAATAATTTTAAAATTAAAAAAAAATGAAAATTCATGAAATACTTGGCAAGATGTTTAAGTTAAACCAAAAATATGGAAATCGCAATGTTTCAACATTCAGACCTGCTTACAGAGAATATAATGTGTGATTTCAACTGAAAAATTGAGTGCATGTTCACATATGGTCCATTGAATAGCCGAATGATTACGAATATTATAAATCATTTTTTCCCATTCCTACTGCCATATCAAGAAGGATTGTTGATGCTGTGACAAATATACATGTATGATACAAATGCAGAGTGACTATGCAATTACAGTTATATAAGTACAATCCATGATGTGAATTTACAGGAATCAATGCATTATAAGTCAAAGGAATGGTGTGGGGTATAGATTACCCACTCTCAGGAGTACTTGATGACTGAGTCAAACTGTGGATGCACAAACATGGTATGGTTTATTGCTGAACCAATTAACTCAGTGATAGCCTACAACTGAAAAAGGAATTTTGAATCTCTGAAACTAGCATTATATATAGGTGCTATGCTAATGTGAGAAAAAAAAACATGTAAGTGGCAAATACAAATGAATTGTACGAGAGGGGAAAAAGATACAATAACAAGTATTAGGTGGTCAAGATAATTGGTGAAAAAGTCTATCCTCGGGGGCGGACATCCGGGCATTTTCACCGCCTGGCAACCCGCGGCGGTGAAAACAAAGGCCAAAAACTCGCAGAAAACTGTACTTTGGGATTATTGTCGAGACTCCTCTGAACAGTGTAACAAGATTAGCCCTACGTGTGTAACATATATAAATTTGGTTGTTCGGGATTACTTCAAAGTTGAGTTTGTGTTGTTTTTTCGAATTTTCACCGGCTCGACTGGTGTTCCACAGCAGCGCGCACAGAGCCCATGGAAATGCATGTACAGTGGTGCGCGTCATAGCAACGTGCAACGTCTTGTGACGTAGCTCCGCCCTCGAGGATATGCTCATTGGCTGATATTAAATGATTCTCATTGGTCAAGTGTTATTTAGAAGAATCAATATACAAATATATATTATGAATCTCAGATAAATGGCTGACATCAACATAAGGGTTGAACATTAGAAACTGGGAGGTGCGAAACAAATCCGTGGGAAAAAATTTAAAAAACAAATTATACTGAAAAATCAAAGAAACCATACGCACTTTACAACAATTGTGAGCATCAACATGAACAAGAATCTGGTTTAAAACTACTGTAAGTAAAGAAAAATGTTCACTGTCATACACATATTTCTGATGGTCAACCTCTCATGGTAAAACTGTTTTTCCCCTACCAGAGCAATATATATATGAAAAAATATGGCATAAAAAAAGAAACTTACATGCCACTTGTAACTGAATATGAATTCATAAATGCTAATTAAGTAGGGGTCATTCTAGGTCGTATTTGATGGGACATGATATGTCTCATCATATTTAATTGTTTGAATATGGCAAGGGTTGTTCCAAAGAATAACATCTTAACTTTATATTTTATATTATCCTAATTTAAGCTTTTAAGTTAATTTTAGTACTGAGCTAGTTTGTGAACATATGTGCAATGCATTATGGGATAGAAATTCAAGTTTAGTACTGATAATGAGAATATTAAGACACATTTCTTAAAATTTACGCCATTTTAAAACTACAAGATTTTCACACTGGTTTCCCCGAGGTATGGGAATTCTAATAAAATTATGTTGTTTGTTATAATTTGCTGTCTGGATTTCAAACTAGTCTAGGCAGAAATCCTAGGACATTTTAATCACATGTAAAAGTTAGCTACCGGTATTAATTTATTGACTGTTAACTGTTAATGTGTATGTCTCACTAATTCTGATTGATGTTCTTGCCAACTTAATTCTTGGAATGCTACATAGCTTAGTAAATATAACAGTGGCAGTTGGGATTGGACAATGTGTATCGCATCTGTCACCTCACAGTAATATATATATCTACACTAATCAGGTTACAAATTCATGCCTCAGGGTTGTATCCCAAGCTTGTAGACTGTCTTAGTTGCTGCCAATTTTTTTTTGCAATCTGCCACTGAATCTCAGCTCATCGGGATCTGTTGATGATTCGAGTAATTCATGCATTTGTGTTAGCTTTTGCTTTTGTTTGCATTTTACAAATGTGAACATTTATTCTTTTTGATTTTGACATAAATGTGGGTTAATTAAATTATCTATTAATTTATACATTTTTGTTAATTTATACAGTATTCAGTTCAATGATTTTACCTTAAAAATTTTACATTTTTTTGTCATTTTGTGTAATATTATACCAATCGTTCAGTTTTTTTTTATTTCTCTTTAATTTCATTTTATAATTTGTATATATTTTTTATTTCTATATAAATGCTTACTGCATTATTTTATTTACTCTTCTCTGGTCAGGTAGAGCATTAATAAATGAATCCAATGATACTCTGATGTAGTACAGATGGTTCATTTTAATGCTGTTTCCATGGGGACATAGCTAGCAGCTAGATCAAAGTCACAGTAAATAATACAGTTGATTTCCAAAGTGATGCTCTTGTCTTGTTTACACTATAGTTGAAAAATCAAGTAACAACTGAAATTCACCCTGCAATTTTTTGCAAACTGTATATTAATCACTTCATTATTTGAGTATGTCACATGACCAATGTTCTGAGCATACTCAGTATATGCTGAAGCTAGAGTGATGATAATTAACAGCCTATTTGTCAAAGTTGCAAAAATGTGTACATCAGTTGAATATGAATGGAATAATAGATTAAAATACCATATTCATAATTATTAGTTTCCAGCATTTTCAACAAGTTTATTAATACATTTACATCTTTATGCAGCTTTCTCGCAGTGTTAGTGAACCAGAGGCATTTGAGCGTATCTGGGCCCGAACTTCAAGACGACGTCCTCGTTCGTCCACATTAACAAATCCTTATGCTGCATCACTTACCAAGTGGCCCGTTCCACAAGTGGAGTCACTGTTTTTACCGGAGTATGTTGTCCGACACAATATGGCAGTAACAGATTTTGAGGTAAGAATGTTGATCAATTGACGGAGTATGTTGTCAGACACAATATGGCAGAGACAGATTTTAAGGTAAGAATGTTGGTCAATTGACCGAGTATGTTGTCAGACACAATATGGCAGAGACAGATTTTGAGGTAAGAATGTTGATCAATTGACGGAGTATGTTGTCAGACACAATATGGCAGAGACAGATTTTGAGGTAAGAATGTTGGTCAATTGACCGAGTATGTCGTCAGACACAATATGGCAGAGACAGTTTTGAGGTAAGAATGTTGGTCGATTGACCGAGTATGTTGTCAGACACAATATGGCAGAGACAGATTTTGAGGTAAGAATGTTGGTCAATTGACGGAGTATGTTGTCAGACACAATATGGCAGAGACAGATTTTGAGGTAAGAATGTTGATCAATTGACGGAGTATGTTGTCAGACACAATATGGCAGAGACAGATTTTGAGGTAAGAATGTTGATCAATTGATTCAGTTTCATTGAAATAAGTGATTTTCCATTCAAAGAGAGATCGCGTGAAAGGTGCAGGCCGAACATCTACTGCAAAAATCTAAATATTTTGGTTATAAACCAAACATCAGGTATACTCGACTTTGTTGTTTAGATATTTTCCTAATTGTATAAATTTTCATATTCACAGATTTTATATCCCTTGTCGAGAGGTGGGTTTGGACAAGTATTAAAAGTACAGAAAGTAGAGGATAAAAAGTTTTATGCAATGAAGGTATGTGCAGTACATAAATTTTGTGTCTTTTCCATGGCAACGGATTGTCTGTGCGGATATATTGCAGCTATATTTGAAAATCATTGTTTTCTTTTACATGCATGTTTTCGTTAAAATTCATGCTAGTCTGTCTCTGTTCTCTGATCACAATTAACTTCTCAAACTCACATTTTCTGAAATATCTAACAACATCAGATCAACAGACAGAATTTTCCTCAAAATTAAAATAATAAAAAAGAATCAGATATTAACTCAGTTTCCAAATAATGATCAAATTAGAAGTCAGTGTGTTGAGCTAGAAGTTGCTTAATGGATCTGACGGGCAAGGTTTCACTAGTCTTGCTATGTTTTCAAAGTATAATACTGTAAAATCTGTATTAGAAGCCGCGGCTTCTATTAAAATGGTACAATGCAACAGAGGGGATGCGGCTTCTTTTAGAGCATCTACACATATGAGAAATGAGGAATTTTTAGTTCTCAATTATTCAAATAGTATGGATGCGACTTCTATTAGGGATGCGGCTTCTAATACAGATTTTACGGTACTCATAAATGTCCTTGTACATTGATGTAAAAAAATTTGGGGGTTGCTGAAATATTTTTAATGAAAACATTAAGCATTGCCAAAATATTTTTATCTATTTTTTACAAAAGAATCCATAATTTATTAATCTTTCTCAAACAGTACTTGGAATAAAATAGCTAGATTCATTTCATGTTTTCTAGTGTATAAATACATTCTGTCAGAGCCTAATGAATTGCTAAATACTTCTAAAGCAAAATTAAAAGTACTTGTCGATTCAAATGTTAAAATACAAAATGTGGTTAAGTGGAATTCATTTCCTGTGTTAGGCTTTTACAGAGTAGAGAAGTTCCTGGAAACATTGATTTTTGTCTTGAACGATTGGAGGTCATATTTACTTGTTGTACAAATGAAAAGAGTAGTCATACATGTAGATTAATGCTGACAAGCTTTTATGAGATGCAACTTTCATCACTATGTGATGAACATTTCACAAAAAGCGAACTCTTGTGCTTTGTGAGCGTTCCATTGCACGGCAATTAAACGTAGACAAACCAATAGCGTCACAGAACACAGTACGTGCATGAAAATGTTTGGTTACGTAAAAAAAGCAAATTTATTGCAGCATTAAAACAAAACATATTAAGTGTTTTGCGAATAATCAAGGACACTACTAAAAACAGTCAGGGATAAAATATATCATTTCTTTCACAGTCTCACTAATTTGTATTTCTAAAAATATGGGTTTCTCTTGCTATTTTGTGATCGTCTCCTAATTCCAGGGATTTTTTTAAACAAGGGAACAGGGGCGCAGCACCCTCATGCCATGGTCATGCACCCCCTTACCCTGGGGAGCAGATCCTCTGGCAACCATAAAATTCTGATTGACCAGGGAACACATGTGGCCACAGTCTTCAACTGTGACCTGTCAGATAGTAATTTTAGCCCCAGAGAAGCCATAGAATGCTCCATTTTAACTTAGAATTATCAACAATTCCACACCCTGGTAGGGAGAACCCTATTTCCCCCCACTTGGTGGCGCCGCTGAATTGCAGTGCTCCCTCTTGCAGTTTTTTTCTCGGAAAACCCCTGCTAATCTTGTATAAATCCTTGTACTGAT